CCGGCAACTCAGCCAGGAACCCAGTATATGTGTGTCTGGTGGGGGAGGGGAGGCAACAGGCGGCCAGTGTGGCGCTCCGGCCCTAGTGGCAGGCAGGGAGCTCTGCCCCAGCCCCCTTCTGGCTCCAGTGGCCAGGAAGCTCCAGCACTAGCTTCAGTGGCAACCAAGGGAGCTCTGACCCCAGCCACATAGCTCTAGTTCTGGCCCTCCGCTCCAGCCCTTTACTGCGCAGCTCCGGCCCCAGCAGCAGCGCCAGGTGGCTGTGGAGCTCTGCACTGGCTGTGGATAAAACACTGCTGTCCACTATATCAAAATACAATGGTCCATACTATGGTTTATGAGTACAGTGAAAGGTGGCACAGAGAGTTTTAAAGAGCACACCTGTGGTATGCAAGACGTCTACCAGCTAACTTTGCTGTCCTGGAAAGGAGATTCACTGGTATGCATGGTAGATAGCATGTCTGACTGTATCCTGTTCCAGATTGATTAGGAAGGTCAGTCTTAAATTATGCCAGGACACTTCCATCCTTAATGCTGATGTATACAAGTGCCACAGAAAAGTGAATGTCACTTGTGGCTGTTGCTTTATCCATATTTTACAAAAGATCCCCTTAAAAAGAGCTGTAATAAAACCCCAATAAAAGGGGTAAAAAAGAAGGGTGATTTCATGGCAGCTGTCTGCTATAGACTACGGAAGAAGGAAGAAGAGGTTCGTGAGGCTTTTTTTCAACAACTAACAAAATAATCCAAAGCACAGGAGTTGGTGGTAATGAGGGACTTCAGCTACCCAGACATTTGTTGGGAAAATAACACAGCAGGACTCAGATTATCTGACAAGTTCTTGGAATGTATTGGCAACAGTTTTTTCATTTCAGAAGATGGAAAAAACTACTAGCAGAGAGGCTGTTCTATATTCGATTTTGACAGATCATGAGGAACTGGTTCAGAATTTGAAAATGGAAGGCAGCTTGGGTGAAAGTGGTCGAGTTCATGATTCTAAGGAATGGTAGGAGGGAGGACAGCACAATAAAGACTAAAGATTACAAGAAGCCAGACTTCAGCAAATTCAGGGAGTTGGTAGGTAGGTAAGATCCCATTGGAAAAACAATTTAAGACAGTTGGCATTTTTCAAAGAGACATTATTAAGGGCATGAGAGCAAACTATCCCACTTCATAGAAAAAATAGGAAGTATGGCAAGAGACCGCTTTGGATTAACTAGGAGATGTTCATTGAATTAAAAATCAAAAAAGTGTCATACAAAAAAGTGGAAAATAGGTCAGATTACAAAGGATGAATATGAACAAATAACCCAAGTATGTAGGGCCAAACTTAGAAAGGCCGAGGCACAAAACGAGATCAGACTCACTAGAGATATAGAGGGTAACAAGGAAATACTCTTATGCATGAGAAGCAAGAGGAAAACCAAGGACAGGGTAAGCCTGTTACTCAATGAGGGGGAAAACAATAACAGAAAATATGGAAATGGTAGAGGTGACTTAATGATTTCTTTGTTTTGGTTTTGACCAAACATAGTGAATGCCAGTGAAAATGATATATGATCAAATGCTAAAAGAGGGAAAGACCAAGTTCAAAATTACTTAGACAAATTAGATGTCTTCAAGTCACTAGGGCCAAATGATGTCTTCAAGTCACTAGGGCCATCTTAAAATACTGAAGGAGTTGACTGAGGAGATATTTGAGGCATTAGTAATTAAAAGACATAGAATTTGAGAGAGATTCCAGAAGACTGGAAAAGGGCAAATATAGCGCCCATCTATAAAAACGGAACTAAGAACAATCCAGAGAATGATAGATCAGTCAGATTAACTTCTGGACCTGGAAAAAATAATAGAGCAAATGATTAAGCAATCCATTTGCTCACATCTAGAAATAATAAGCTAATAAGAAGCAGTCAACATGAATGAGTCAAGAACTAAACCAATCTGGTGGCTCTCTTTGATAGGCCAACAAATCTTGTGGATGCGGGAAAGTGGTAAATAAGATGTATCTTGACTTTAGTAAAACTTTTGGTACTGTATCACATGACTTTCTCATATAAAGCTAACTAGACGGAGTTACTTTAAGGTGGATGCAAAACTGGTGGGCAGAACATTCCGAGAGTAGTTATTGGTAGTTTAGTCATGCTAGAAGGGCATAATGAAGTCAGTCTGGCAGGGATCAGTTCTGCATCCATTTCTGTTCAGTATCTTCATCAGTGTTTTAGAGAATGGCATAATGGGTATGTCTACACTGCAACACAATATCGAAATAACTAGCACTATTCCAAAATAACTTAGTCGGCATCTACACAGCCGGCAGTTATTTTGAAATAGTGTCAAAATACTGTTAAGCTGGTGGGCTTCTTACTCCAAGTCCTGTAACCCTTATTGTACAAGGAATAATGGAAGTGGAGGAAGAGTGCCCTATTTTGAAATAAGTGCAGTGAATACATTTCTTATTTCAAAATAAGCTATTTTGAAATAAGGTATGAAATTGATGTAGCTCAATTTGCACAGCTTATTTCGAGTTAAGCGCTGCAGTGTAGATGGAGAGTACACTTATAAAGTTTGTAGGAGGAGAGGATCTGGAGAAACGATCTAAAGTAAATAGGATGAAATTCAATTAGGACAAATGCAAAGAATTCCACTAAGGAAGGAACAATCAGTTGCTCACATTTCAAAATGTGAAATGACTGCCTAGGAAGGAGTACTGTGGAAAGAGTTATTTGTGGGTGAGGGTGGAGATCATAATGGATCACAAGTTAAATATTGAGTCAATAATGTGACGTTTCAATAAAAGCAAACATAATTCTGAGATGTATTAGCAGGAGTGCTGTAAGTAAAACACAAGAAGTAATTCTATTAATTAGGAGTCCCAGCTGGAATATTGTGTCTAGTTTTGGGAGCCACATTTCAGGAAAGATGTGGACAAATTGGAGAGGGTCCAGAGAAGAGCAACAAAAATGATTAAAGGTCTAGAAAATATGATCTTCGAGGGAAAATTGAAAGAACTGCGTTTGTTTAGTCTGGAAAAGAGAAGATTGAGAGGGGGTCGAAACAGTTTTTAAGTATCTAAAAGGTTGTTACAAGGAGGTGGAAGAAGAATTGTTCTCCTTAGCCTCTGAAGATAGGACAAGAAGCAACGGGCTTAAATTTCAGCAAGGAAGATTTAGTTTGGACATTAGAAAAAACTTCCTAACATCAGGTAGTTAAGCACTGGAATAAATTGCCTGGGGCGGTTGTGGAATATGCATCATTCGAGATTTTTAAGAGCAGGTTTAGATAAACACCTGTCAGGGATGGTCTAGATATAGATAATAATAATAATAATAACTTAGTCCTGCCATGAATGCAAAGGACTGAACCAGATGACCTCTTAAGGTCCCTTGCAGTCCTATGATTCTATTTAATATGGTAGACTTACACCTCATCCGTTGAGTTACCCTACCTTTGGCATTTTTGCAGATCTCTCCACTATACTGAGAGTAATCAAATTCTTCCTTGTTTTTGTGTTAATGTGTATTAACAGACAGCACCAGTCAGAAATTATATTTCATTGTACACATCTGCTAATCCCATGCAGTTTGTTTTTGGGGAGGAAGATCTAGTGGTCAGAGCAGGAGACTAATGAGTCAAGACTCACTTTTCGGCTTTCCCTGTCAAGTTCTTTGGAATGCTAAAAGTAATCCATCACTACTAATGGAGAAAAATAATACATTTAAAATTGTTATTCCACAGTGTTATTTAGAAAGGCATACAGGAATTTGCTTTTAAAAATATTATTTTTGATTTGCTAGTGATAACCACTATGTTTTTTTATTATTATTCTTTTCAGAACATCTGCCTAAACTACAAGCCAGATCCTATACAGCTGCAAGGTACTGATACATTTAGATTATATCTTGTCTGTAATTCAGGCATAGTTTTTCCTCAGAAAAAGATATCTTGTTAAAGCATTACAGAGAGCAAACTCTAGGTTATATTGCAATTCAGTTTTGCTTAATGGAATTTTGATACTGCAGTCAGTGTGGAAATCAGTTTTACCAAATCCCCAGTGGCTAAAAATGGTTCCAGCACATAGGTACCTACTTTTACAGAAGTCTTTCACAGTGGAGCTGTTTTATTCATTCACCCATTTGTTTGTTTATTAATTACAAATTTTGAGGCAAGACTAAACAAATGAAAATGTCCTTGAGGTATCTGGAATATTTCCAGGGAAAGTGTGCAGTATGCCTTTAGTTACAAAGAGCAAGTAAATAATCTCAGGTCTAGATTGGCCGTGAGGCATCTACCTAGTGGATTAGTGTCTTCCATGATTAATAGGACTGTCTCGCTGGTCAGCTGCCACTCCTTTAGGAAATGCTTCACACTCAGATCGAGAAGACTTGAGTGGAGTGTCTCCTCCTGTTTACTAATGCAGCTGAATCAATCTAGCCAGGCAACTCCCAGACTTTGCCTTTGGGTAGAGATACAGAAGATCATTGCAGCCTGATTTGCTACCCCCAAATCCTGTGAGGCAAAAAGAGGAGAAAGAAGAGATCCATAACAATCCTTTAACAGGGTATTGCAGACTAGTATTGCAGACATGACAGTCTCTGGAAAAGAAGTAGCCTTCCTGAACAGGCCAGGTTGAGTTATCAGAGAGAGACTGCAGGAGGAAGGAAGGAAGGAACTGAAGAAGAGTGATTTAAGAGTGAAGACCTGGAAATAGATTAAGGAAGATGGTGGACACAATACAAATGAGTGGGAAGACAGGAAAGGAATGGAGAAAAGGAAAAGAAAGAGAAAAATATTGAAACATTAAATAAATTTTAGAATAAGGGGAAACAAAAAGATATTGGCATCATATATATAGTAGCCGAATGTCTATGACTCTGTAAGACTGAAATGCTGGCTGTTCCCTCTGGGCAGCGCTGTTGCCTCCCTGGCTGTTCCTTCTGGGTGGCGCTGTTGCCTGAGTCACGTCCTTCGCCTCCCGCCATGGTGCTCAGCTGACTTCTGCACCACTCAGGAGGGCCTCTGTGTGGGAGCAAGTGGCGCAAGTGACTGTTTGGGCTCCGTGGTCCCTCGAATGAGAGGCAGGAGGGGGAGGAGAAGAGAAAGAGAGAGACAGAGAGAGAGGCAGGAGGTGAAAGAGAGCTGAGAGAGGGAGAAGGAGGCAGCAGGAGGAGGAGAGAGAGAGAGACTGGAAGCTCAGGAGAGAAAGACCGACGTGGAGGAGAGACCTGAAAATCCCGTTTTATGATGGACTGATTGGCTAGTTAGATAGAGGAAAAGAAATAGAGTTGAAGAAAAGAAAAATAAAACCTGGGTAGAAAGAAATCTAAGTTTATTTTTTAATTTAATAGTTTAATAACAATGTTCTAATTAAAAACACACCCAAATGTGGTGTCACATATAAATAAAGCAACATTCTTTGAGTGGCTGGTAAAATTTTATCAGTGCTCTCTGACAATGGAACTCTCATGCATGTGAATCTGATAAATTCAGAAGAGATCTATTGGAATTGTCCAGACACTTGCCAGTCCAGCCTTGTAAGACTATCAAGGGATAAACTCTAACTTCAATGAATTTTGGATTAGGCCAAAAATGAAGCTACATTAAGGTGACATGATTTTTCTCATATAGCATTTTGTTTGTTCATTGCAGCTCCCATTTGTTTCAACCAGGAAAACTGCAGTTTGTTTTTAATGTTGTGGAGTTTCCATCCTCCCCATCTCGACTGGTTTCACGAAAAGGCGTTTGCACAGGTTGGCTCACTGAGTTAGTTGCACAAATTCTTCAACCACATAAAAACTCTCTTCACTCAAGGGATGAAGAATCATCAGCTGTAAAGGTACCAAAATAAGGTTTAATTTCTTGTGTTTTTAGAATGATATAATTAGAATATATATTTCTGGAAAAAACAGTTTTGCTTATTTCTTTCATCTGAGGCTAAGATGTTCTGATTGTGGCTATATTTATCCATTTGGGCAATTCCACACTTATTACAAATTCCCTTTGTGATTTCTTTATATCTGCAGTGTAGTATATCTCCAAAGGGATTTTTTCTGATTAAAATCTTTTTGTTAATTTTAGCCATGCATAGGATACCTGGCAAAGTATATATAACCACTGTGTGAGAGTGAACTCATGGAGGAATTCAGACTTATTAATGATAGGTCAAAATCCAAAACCTGGGTTTAAGTTCCCCTCCAAACTCTGGAGAAGTTTGGGAAAAGATCTTCATTTGCAGCTTGTACTTCATCTCTAATCTCCCCATTGAAATGTAACGTGCAGTAACCTTAGTGGGAGTTAACATGTTCAAATTAAAAAGGATATTAACACTATGAATTCTCATTTACTGAAATTCTCTACTGGTTTACATAGGTTCAGCTGCATTAACTTTTCTCAGCAAAGAATTTGGCACAAAGAATTTAGTGCATGAGTGTTGTTAGCCCAAGCTTCTGTTGATCAGTTTATTTACTTTTGACACTGAAAAGTGGAGTCTGGTATCAGGATCAGGGTCCATGAACTCCTCCTCCGTACCTATCTCTGTCTTTTATAACCCTTTGAAAGGGCCAGTTGGCTTGCAATCAGAATTTCCCCTAAAACTATTTCTCTCCCTTTCTGAGTCTTCATGCATAGGTAGTTCTATATTTTATCAGCCAGTGGGTAAAGATTGTAACACTGCAGTATTGACAGCATCTTTGCTATTCTCTAACCCTCTTCAATGATTGCACATGATTCGATCCCACCACACAAAGTCTGACTATGAGTATATACATATAGCAATCACGCACCAAAGTACAAACCTGATTATATAGATCAGATGACCTATTTTGCTTTTAAAAAAGAATTTAATTCTTGCTATTTTCTCCTGGAAAGGACTTCCTTTAGAAAAAAATCACATCTTTTATCAGGCACTGAAAAGGTACATTTATTATACTAATTCATAGGAAAAGTCTTTTTTATTTCTTTTGCCTAGTTTTCTTTCCAGCTCTTTCTTGGGCTATGTCACTTTATTCTGGGTGCACTAGGGAGAAGGTGCTCAGTTCCCTTCTCTGTCTTTGCGTTTCAGTCAGAGACAAGATTTCTAATCAGAGGTAGAGAAGCAGATCTGCAATGTATGTGCTGGGAGAGGAAAGCGTAAGAAGTACTCCTACAATGTTCAGTAAAATACTGTACTGTGTTTGGTGAGTTGTAGAAGAGATGTTTGTCTAGCGTTGAAAGAGTGAAAAGGTGGGTTTGTGCATCAGTCCGTGGGATAGTTGATTTGGTAAGGTTCCATCTCTTTAAAAGACTAGACTCCTAATCTGGCCCCTAAGAAGGTCACATATGAACTGCAAACATTTTTGTTTTGGTCTGAAAGTGCATAATTATGTAATGGGCAAACTATTGAATATCATGGATTATGTATGAAATTAATTTTACAACTAAAATTGGTAGTAAACAAATGTATATGCAGTCAAAATATATATACGTAGATACATGTTCAGTTATTTCTTTTTCTATTTTGATTTAAAGTTAAGTACGATTAGTTGAGTTGTTCCTTTTTGCTTGCACATCTTTTGCTGAATTTGTAAAGTATCAAAGACTCTTACCGCTTTAAGGAGCTGGTATGCTGGCTGGATAAAATGAGGTTTCCTTTCCATGCACTTGTAGAAATTGTAGTTTGTAATTTTATCTGCATCTCTGATAAAAGTTTTAATATATTGACTTTGAATCCCTGCATCATCACTGTCTTGCTCCCTTTTAAGTGTTTGGTGAGTTGTTAATTAAGTCAACAACTTTTCTGTACACTTGATTAATGCAGATCTCACTACTCGTAAACCATTGGATTAAATCAGCACGCTTTTTTCCATTTTATGACAAAACTGTATTATAGCTGTTAAATTTCTTAATCTTGCAATGAATGTTTCAGCTCCTTTACACTTTGTAAGGACCTAAAATTGGCCATGCTGGGTCAGCCTAAAGATCCATCTAGCCCAGTAACCTGTCTTCCAACAGAGGTCAATATCAATTGCCCCAGAATGAGGGAACAGAAACAGGTAATCCTCAAGTGATCTCACCTGTCATCTATTTCCAGTCCATTTCCAGCTTCTGGCAGAGGCTAGGGACACCATCACTGCTCATCCTGGCTGATATTCATTGAACTTATCTAGTTCTTTTTTAAGCCCTTTATAGTCTTGATCTCCAAAACATCTAGCATGGAGTTCTACAGATTAAACGTGTGTTCTATGGAAAAATAAGAGTTGTTTTAAATGTGCTGCTGATTCATTTCATTTGGTGACTCCTTAATTCTTGTGTTATAAGAAATAATTAAGTGTTGTGTTTGTAACTTGCATCTCTTGTTCCCTCAAATTCAACTAAACGGTACTGTGCATTATAATCAATAGCAGCATACCAGCTTCTTATCTTGTCTTAACTTGTTTTGGGAGCAGTTTCACAGCAACATTGGAACTCATAGCCTAGACTGTGTCCTATGCAGATTTTCTTTAAAATGGAATTTCTACTCGGATGATGTTTACAAACCCCTTTGAAACTTTGTTAGCTTGTCAGCCTTTGGGAAAATTGCAGCAAGGAGAGGCGCCTCTCCCCTGGCTCAAGCCCCAGAGCTTCTCCCCCAGCCATGGACTGCTGTCATAAGAGAGGCTTTAGGGGGCATCCTCTCTCCTTGCCACAGCCCTGGGGTAGCCTGATCCCCAAACTTCTCATCCCCCTTGCCATTACCCCCCTTATTCCAACCCACTGGTGCAGCCTTGAGCCTCTTCCCACACTCTGAACCCCTCAGCCCCACCCCTACCACACATCACTGCCCTATTGGTGCACATAACAAAATTCATTCTGCCCACGGATTTAAAAATTAAGAGGTAATATTGTTAAGGACTAATTTTGCTCCACTGAATTAATTCACAAAAATAAATTGGACATTTGCCATTGACTTCAGTGGAATAGGATGCGGCTCCGTTATTATTTATATCATATGTGTTGTAGTAAGGGCGAGAAGCTCCAAAGTCACACTGAATTCACCATACATGCACAGCAAAAAGATGGCTGCTACCCAGATGAGTTCACAGTCTGAAGCGTAAGTCCGGAGATAGCAAATAGATGCAGCAAGAGTGCTGGGGGAAGTACAACAAAACAGTGAAATCATTATTTGCAACATAAAAATAGTAGTAGGGTTGCAAGGTGTCCGGTTTTTGCCCGGACAGTCAGGTAATTATGTCTTTTGTCTGGTTTAAAAAAAAACAACAGAAAATACCAGACATGAAAAATGTCTGGTATTTTCTGTGGGGTTTTTTTTTTCTTAGATGGAAGGCCGGCAGGGACATTTTTCCCCTGCTGCGTCTGGCAGGGAAGGGAGCAGGGTGTCCCTGAGGCCACTTAAAAAACTTCCGCCAGCCTCCCCTGTTGCACGGCTAGATACTTCTGGTTCCTCTCCTGCACATGGGAGAGGCCGCACAGGAGATCTGGCCTGAGGGAGAAGCTCCACGTGCTGGAGCCCTGCGGCATGTCAGCCAGGCAGCAGGGGAAGGTGAAAGAGCCTGCCGCTCCTTCCCAGGCTCAGGAGGCTGCCAGCAAAACTCCTTTTGCTGTGAGCAGAATGAGAGGAGAGAGGAGGGGAGGTGATCCATTCCTAGAGTGGGAGGGAAGTGAAGCCCCAAGCCCCTTCTCTGAATGGGACACCTTTTGGAAGGAAGGGGAAGCCACAGCAGGGACAGCTTCTTCCCTCCCCCGCCCCTTCCCTGAATAGGCTGGCTAGCCTCTGGAAGACTGGAGCCTTACCAGTTAAGGAGGCATGCAGGACTGGAGGGAAGGTGGGGGGTGAGGGATATCTTGCAGGAGTGGGAAGGAAGAGAATCACCCCCAGCCTCTTCCCTGCATGGGGTGCATTTAGGGAGGAAGGGGTGGCCACATCTGGGCAAGCCCCAAAACTCCTTCCCTGCACTAGGCTGGCTGCAGCAAGGAGCAGTGTCTTGTAGCCTTAGCTAGCCCTACACTGCCTGCAATTGTGGCAATTGTGTCTCCTGTCCAGTAAAAAAAACCCAACCAACCAAAAAAAACCCCTAACAACCCAGAAAAAACCGGTATTTTCTGTTTTTCTCGGATTTTTCTGCTGTGTCTGGCGGGGCCCCCCCCCCCCCCCTTTCTTTTTTCCAATTCCCCCCTGCCCCTTGCCATGTTCGGTATTTTTTGTGCAACTATCTAGCAATCCTAAACAATAGTCACAGTTCACCAGCTGCCTAGTCATTTCCATGTGTTCTGTGTGCATCACAGTTTAGGTGGAGTTTAAGGAGTGATTTGAAGAAGGATGATGTCACAGCTTTATGATTATTTTTATGTATGTGTGACAGGATATAGAAACCCCAAGCTGGCCAACAGGGGTTAGGGAGCTCCTTCAGTCAGTCCCGCCCTGCTATACCTGTAAGAGAGAAACATACAGGGAGGGGGTCCTCGCTATAAGTCCAAGATGCATTCCAAAAAACTTGGACTTATAGCAAAACAACTTAAAGCTGCCGCTCTACAGCCTCTGGCGCTTCTCCAGCCAGGGCCATCCTGCCGCTAGAGCCGCCCTGCTGCCACTGGGGATTCCAGCCACCTGCCACTGCAAACCCTGCTTCAGCTGGGGGTTTCCCAGCAGAGGCTGCCTGGTCATCCCAGCCCTGCTGCCACCAGAGGTTCCTCAGGGTTCCTGGCAAAGGCAGCCTAGCTGCAGCTGGTGTTTCCTCGGCTAGGGCCAGGGCTCCTTGGTGATGTGGCCCCACTAATGCCGGGGATTCCTACCTGGCTAATGTCTGGCACCGTTGATGCTGGGAGTTCTAGGCCAGGGTGGGGGCTCCCCAGATGCTGTCT